AGTCACAACACCGTCAGCTGGAGAATTCATTCTTACTCAGGGCAGGGTCACTTCTTTTGTCTTATTCAAGGCCTTGACTCATAGATGAGGTCCTCCCACATTTTGGAGGACAGTCTGCTTTAGTCAAAGGCCACTAATTTAAATTTTACTCTTATTCAAAAACACCCTTACAGAAACACCCAGAAAATTTGACCTATCTGGGCACAGTGGCCCAGCCATGTTAACACATAATGTTGGTGACACATAAAAAATCAACAATCACACATTTAGAGGTTTATCTAACATCTGTTTTATACTATTGCTTTCTCTATTTCCTTTAACCTAAATTTAATATTACAAATTGGGTTTTAGCTAGTTATAGTCCGTTATTCACTAGTTCTATTATCAATGTTTTTTCAATTTAAAAAAAGCTTTATTTTTCTTACATTTATTTACTAAGTACTTCCTGTGTTCTTTTAATAGACTATATACTGGTAGATCAATAGAGTACTGAAGAATATGTCTATGGGTTTGAATTTTAATGCTGCAACTTACAAGAGGGTGTCCTAGAGTGATAATTTAAACTCTCTAAATCTCTATTCCCTGATCTCAAAAGCAGAACAATGGAATTAACTCAGGAATTGTTGAAAGGAAGGAAAGACAGGCTATATGCAAAGCTCTTAGCACAATATGTAGCACCTATGAGGCAGTACATGAATAAAAAAATACCAACATTGTTTCTCATTCTCTTTGGATTTTGTATTTTCCTATACTAATTTATATTTATATTCATTCACATGCCCTAGATGTATTCTTTTTTGATTATTCTTTTTATTTTGGAAAACGTGCAGTTCTTCAAGTCAAAACTTTCTTGAACAAAGGGTGGAGATTAGTGATTTATACTATTCTTTGGTTATAGTATAAGAAATGGCCGATTATCCAGGAATGATGTTCGCTCCCTCTCCAAGAGACATCAAGGAGAGACAATGTGTATCAATATAGGGACATACATGCTCTTTTCCCTTTACTCATGACTAGATTCAAATAATCTAGTGGGGGATTCTTAGGGGCCCTGAGTCAAAGCCAGGAAATGAATCAACCAGGAGAATTTCATCCGCTTTGGTCTTTGCATGAGCAAGACATAAAGCTATGATAAGCCACTGAGAGCTGGACATTGTTTGCTTCAGAATCTAGTGGTATTTGATCTAACAGTGATTCTCATGAAAAATACAGTTTGAGGACAGTTGTTTACCCAGTTGTTGTATCTTTTCAGTTGGTTGAAAGTTCACTATATTTGGCAACTATTCTTTTTATCTGTTTAACTGTGGTTTGTTTGTTTTATACATTAGGAAGGACATTTCACATTAGGGAGGAAAGAATGGTTTCGGTTTAAAAAAAAATCAATGATATAGTTCTGGCTGAGTATAGAGTTATAGATTGGAAATTACTTTCCTCATTTTAAGTAATTGTGTTAATGACTTTCAACGTCCAGTATGGCTGCTGAGAAATTTCATGCCATTCTGTACCATTATACATGTATAAGAAACAAGATTTTTTTTCTATCAGTCAAGAAACTTAACTTAAATCATTCTGAAAATGTTTCCTGGATTTTTTTTTGTGATTTATTCAACTCAATTTTCTCTTTATTCATACTGGAACTCTTATTGTATCACCCATGTTTATATATTAATATCTCATCTATAAAATTTCCCTGTCATTTGTCTTTGTACTTTACCTTTTATGTGATTTCTGCAATTCGTATCTTGCGAATTTTCCATTCATTTTTTACATTTTTATTATTACACTTTTGATTTCCAAGAATTGTTATCTGCTGAATGTTATTTTTTAAATACTAATCTCTTCTTATTTTGTAGATGAAATATTTTCCCTCATCTCTCCAAGGACATGGTCATTTCATTTTCTTCACCTTCTATAGTTTTTGGTGTCTCAGTCTTTAAAACTTTGATGTTTTCATGTCTCTGTCTTCCATATTACATTGTTTCATCATATGTCTACTGCCCCTTCATATTAGGAATTGAGCATTTAACAGCTTATTCCAACACTTGTGACCACATATGACGTTTAGGGCCTTTTGCCTTCGCAGAGGGTAATTTGTCTGGCTTGTTGGTTAAAACAACTGCTGCCATATGGTTAATTTTGATTCTTTTGGCTGATCTGACTGCCTCCTGAAGAGGCATTCATACACTTCTTAGAATGTGTAAGCCTGATTCCCCAAATCCAGCGTGCTAAGTTTATCTTAGTCCCACTATTTTCAGTACAGTATTCTTCCTCTATTGTGACATACAATAGAACATGTGTGACTGCTGTCTTGTATCACAGACTCCCAAAGGAAACAGCCTCAATTATCTGTCAGTTGACAACAGAGTTAATTGAATAGGAGAGGAAATCAGGATTTCTAAATACTTGAACAACTGATGTTCAACCAATTCTCTTTGTAGGTCCACCGTTCAAATCACTTCCTAAGGTATTTGGACATGCAATTCCAGAAACATTTGAGTACTACTGCAGTTTCCTATAGTTCGTCCCAATTGCCAGTTTAGGAATCAGCATTTTAGGGGCTAAGTCAGCTATCTATCTATCTGCTATTCAGCTTCCATTGTTATTACACCTCTCCTGTTCTGTTTGTGTTTGTATGTTTATGTCATTTTAAAAAATCCCTTATAACTTTAGTGAGGTTTAAAGAAAGGGCAGGGGTAAATGCATGTGTCCAATATGCTTTTAACAGATAAGCCTTTTCTTGTATTGTGTCTGGTTTCTAGGCTACTATTCAACTCTGGTTATGATGAATGTGTTCACCCTATTTATAAATTTACTTTCATAAATGTAAACCTATGCCAAAAATATGTTTTATATTATCTTTTTCTGTTCCTTTCTAAAATCCATCATATTGAAGATGTTCACTTTGTTTAATCTGTGCTAGCATTAGTGCATGTGAAAATATGTTTGACTAAACCTGCAGATCTGAGCCTATCAAATTCAGGATGCAAAGCAATTATCGAGTTCCTCTACAAAAGAACAAAATTCACTAACATATACCAATAGCCACTTATCTCCATTTTTGCAGTGATAGCCTTGGTTTTCCTTAGGTTCTGACATTTTAGTCTCTATTTTATTTCATTATTGAATTTTGTTTTGTATCCAAACTTTCCATAATTACTTCCTGTTACCTAGCTCCACTACATTAGAAAATCTGGTGAGCAAATATTAATAGTACTAGTAGCAATATTTATTGATCGCTTATATTTCTCCACACACTGCACTAAGTAATTTCCATGTATAAACTTATTTGATCTGAAATAATGTAATAATTGGGTATTATTTTTATTATTGGCTTTTTTACAGATGAGAAAATTTAAACACAAAAAGGTCATATTAGTTGTCAAAGTTCTTTTGGCTATACTGACAGACTTGGATTGCAAACCAAGGTGCTGAGACTGTATGTTATGTCTTTCTCTTTCAATCCCCTTTTTACGGCTGATTCATTGGAAGCGGATGGCTGCAAGTGCAGTGTTATTTGTCTTTCTCAAAGCAGGTTTATCCCTTCAGTTTTTCCCACTGATACAGAAGAGTATTCATGAAACCCTTTAAAATTTTTCAATTTACTTTATGAAGTAGTGCTCTATTTCATTCATGAAAATTGTCTTCAATTGTGTCCCATGTCTCACGTTGTATTGCAACATGCTGGTGTTTTCCAGAGCTGGCATAAAAGTTGAGATCACATCTTAGTTTCTTTAGAAATGAAATTTTTGTCTCTATATATGATCATATTTTATCATTTTAAAGGTTTTTTAAAACAGCAATTTTATTAATTTGTATTTGGACGAGTATCTTTGCCAAAATAATTAAAAGCAAATTAAAGCAACAGTTAGATGAAATTCATCATAAATTAAATTCCAGTTTCATTCATTACTATTTTGTTTTGCTTCTCTTTCATATGTTATTCAATTTTGATGAGAATATGTTGACAGAGATTTATCTACTTAACCACTGATGATAAAGAGTAAAATTGTACAAATATTCTTAAGAAAAAAGTGAAAAAAAAATGTTTGAAAATATGTCTACCCTTAGAAGCAAGTACTTATAAGCAAAGTGTGATTGCCTCAAAATTTGGTACATTCGTAAAGTTCATTTCTTGATTAAAGTAAAATTATACATATGCCAATATGACATAATTTTATAAAATACATGCAATTTAAATTTATGATGAATATATGGAAAAGTGTAAAAGAGTATACACCAAAATGGTTACAGTGGATTTTGTCACAGCATTTACTTCTAAAAATGCATTATGGCATATTCTTATTTTCCTTACCTATGCATATATTTAGTATTTTAATCAATGTTAAACAATGTTATTTACTTTAAAGTAATAAATGTAATATAATTTGATAAGTGGAAATATGAATTATCCTCTTAAAAGCAAAAAGGAAATTACAAAGAAACTTATATAGTTAAATCATTTTTTGGTTAAAAAAATTTATAAAGTTATAAATTATATTTATAAATAAGTATGTTAAAATAATTGGACCATGTATTCCAAAATTTAAAGGTCATTATCTCCAGACAATGATATTTGGGATGTTTGCCTTTTTGACTTTTAAATTTTCTATCAAAATAATACATTTATACAAAGAAAAATATGTATTGGCAAGAAAAATACTGATGAAATAACAATCAGCAAATTTTGGTATCATTACATTAGTAAGAAGCAAATTCAGTAACAATATAACCATATATGTATACATAAAAATATTTGCAATTAGGAAAATGAGAAAATTTTCATGTTTGAAGTATGCATGTTTACATCTATAATATTTTCTAAATATTATATGAACTAACACAAAAGTATATGTTCATATGATATTTAAATAATTATCTTAAAAGAGGTTTTAATATAATCAATATCAGTTTAAATTAGTGTACTAAGTCTAACACATTTCAATATGAATACGTGTATCAAATGAAGCAAAAATGAAGATCTGAGAAAATTGATTACTTACTTCTTGCTTCACAAGAATCCTGTAAGACTGATCTACCAACTGGGTCATAGGATAATTTTCTTCTATGGGGAGAAAATCAATTTTATTATTCTGTATTTGATAAAGCATATGCTCATATGTGGCTGCAGATTCCAGTGGTTCAATTCCATAACTGACTTTATCCAACTGCAATAATCCCCTGAATATTTAAAGACATAAATAGAAAACAGGGCAATTAATATAGATTTCCCACTGAGAAATATAAATTGACATTAAATAAAAACATTTTATAGAAATTTAAGAGTAGTCATTATGGTCTAATTTAATCTAAGAATCATCCCATCTTAAATTAACTTTCAATCTAATATCATATCTTCTGTCTATTATAGCATTTGAGAGTCACTGTGTTCTAGTGTGGCTAATAAATAGTGTGGCTAGTAGATATTCTTTATACTACTGGGCTCTTTCTAAATAAATCTTATGAGTGCAAGCCTAGGATAGAGACAACAAGAATAAGAAAAATATGAGGAGGCTGAGGAAAATAAAGTATGTGAGGAGAAACACAATCGAAGCCTATATTTTATTTGCTTTCACTCTATAATTCAGGAATTTCTAAAAATTAAAGGTTTACAGAAGATTTTCAATCACACATATCTATGGAATATGCCATTACCTGAGTCCAGAACAAATACTAAGTGTCACAGCTGATTTTGGAATCTCTGCCGCATGTCCTTGATAAAAGCAATGTCCCTAAACAGGAATATATAAAGGTACATTCGTGAATGATTTGTAAATAAAGTTTTGGGTTTTATCCTTACTGACTAGACATCATGATCATTCATATTTGGCCATTAGCATAACAGTATTTAGAAGATATCCCATTTCCTTGTTGTCTACCTGTAATCTCTTTTTCTTAACCCTCTTCTGCCCATGAATAATCATGACTCTAATCCTCCCACCAACAATTCCTGCTATAATTCTAAATTGCAAAATTCTGACCAGCAGCTTTCTTATCTTTTCTTTCTCAGCCACATTTCTTGAAGGTATAATCTATACCTGCTAATTTGATGTAATGAACAGCATTAATTTGACTTCAACTGTGAACATTCCACTTGCTCTTTCTAAGTGACCAGAAAGTATCTTAAATGACATTTTCTCATATTTTTCCTCTTTGATATTTCACCACGTTGATTATTCTTAGTTAAAACTCTCAGCTCCTTGGACTTTCAAAGCATTACTCTTCCCAGGTTCTCCCCCAATATTTTCTTTCAGTGATTATTTCCTTCACTTCCCTTAAAAGTCTAGTGATGTCTAGAATCTGTTCCTTTGTTAATCTTGTGCTATTAAAACTTTAGTGTTGTCCTGCTCTCCCCTATGAATTTGCTTATACATGTTTAGCTAACAGACATACATCTCCATCAGTAACCATTTGCTTTTTCTCAAAACTAGGCTTAACCACTATCCCCTACTCACTGACAATGGCTGAGCACACCCTGCTCCATTCCAAGCAATAACTGCAGCTACCTCCAGCTGCACTGGTGCCAGCAGACATTGCAGCTACAAGCCTTTCACAAAGTAGAATGCAGAGCAGCAGACTCTAGAGAGTAGCAGAAAGCAAGACATATTCTGCATCTCCTAGTCTTGCACCCAATCAGAGAAAATAATCCCATAAGATGCTTCCCAATACCTCCGACTCCAAGCAGTGAAAGGTGGCTCAGTTACAATCTTTCTTCACCAAGCGACACTAGCCGAGATCGAATGGGAAGCACACTGACATCCAGTGGCTGGAGGACAGCCAGAGGAAATGCTCTTCATCCCATGGGTGCTTCATCGTCCACCCCCACTTAGCAACACAAGTTGGGACCAGCAAAGTACCTTTTACCACTATAGGCTGCACCAGCAAGATACAGCAGTATCTCAAGCAGAGCCAGAAAAAGAGAGTACAGCAAAATAATACCAGAACACCAGAAAACTAAATTGTCATTGGAACAACAGAGCACACCAAATCTAAACTTACACTGGGTGATCGGTTTCAAAAATAGAAGATTTAAATGTCAAGCAGACAACTGAAAATCATACTATACCAAGAACCAAGAAAATCACAGCAAAAATGAGAAAAGACAACCAATTGATGCCAATATTGAAATGAGTCACATGGTGAAACTATCAAAGATTTTAAAACAGCTGTAAAAAATGCCTTAATTTAACAATGAAATGAAATTCTGGTTAGGAAAAATGGTGGAGTAGGAAGCCCTGGCTCCTCCATGCCCCAACAAACTTACCAACTCAGCCACAATTTGCTGACAAATTTCCTTTGTGAAAAATCAAGAGCAAATTGAAAGGTTCCTGAACACTTCTAAAGAATGAAAAATCAGACTCATGAAGAGCAGTAGGGAGTTTTGGGATACCTTTTCACCAGACACTCTGCTCCAGAGCACTGCCATATGATCAGAAAGAAACACTCTAGCTCCCAGCTCGACCCGGGGAGGAAAGGGGTTGGTTCACATGTTCACTGCCTCTGTGTTTCTGAGGGGCCTACTCAAAGAATGCATATAGGTGTGACCAGTCCTGGAGCTCTGATGGGTTCAGGACAGTCGAGCTACCCAGGCAACAATGGACACGGTGGCTAGTAGACAGCATTGATTCATCCCCACCCCATTTTGCACACAGCGAGTAGATAAAAAATCCCAGCTCTCTGCTTCTCCCATGGAGAAGGAAAGAATTGATCCATGCATGCAGTGCACCCACTTCAATCAAACTGCCTAAATACCTGCCCTCTGTCCCCACCAATCTTGGAGCACTGATGGGTCCAGCATAATCTAGTTGCCTGGGAAAGAACAACCGGCGGCAGCCTGGGATGGTAGATGCCACTGATCCTCCCTCATACCCAGCACAGAAAGTAGGGAGGGGGAAAAATGCCTGCTTTGCCCTGAAGGGGGAAAGAAACTTTCCAGGATGATTTGTAGGGGTACTCTGCTGTACAAGGCCAGTCAGTGAAGACTGGAGGAGTCTTTTAACAAGTAGACACCAAAACAAAGAATTAAGTAAGATGAAGAATTAGGAAAATATGTCTCAAACAATCAAGCAAAATAAACCAAATAAAATGAAGTTAAATGATTTACCTGACAGAGAATTAAAAATAACCCTTATAAACATCAAAGGTCAAGAGAACAATGCATAAACTTCTGATCAATGAGAGACTTCATGAAAAGGATGGAAAGACAAATAACAGCATGAGAGGAAATATCTGCCTACCGCGTATCTGGCAAAGGACCTGTATTTAGAATATATCAATTGCTCAAAATCAACAGTGAAAATCCAACCAATAAACTAGAAAATGGGTAAAAGACATTTAATAGACATTTCACAAAGAGTAACAAGTAAGCACATACATATGTTCAACTTCATAAACATATGTTGAAAATATGTTCAACATCATTAGTCATTAGGGAAATGCAAATCAAAATGACATAAGCTATTACTACACATTTATCAGAATGAGTAGGTTTTTTTTTGTAAATATTAAAAAGGGATTGAACAGTGGCAAGAATGCAGACACTCTCATACATTGCCGTGGAAATGTAAAATGGCACAGCCTATCTTGTAAATAGTTTGATAGTTTCTTTGAAAAATATAAACATACAACTTACAATATGACTGGGCAATTATATATGTGGGGATGTATTCCAGAGAAATTAAAATTTACATTTCATCAAAATTATCAAATTTATGAGCATAAAGCCTTCATAATATTCCAAGATATTTATTTTCTCTATGATTAATACTATCTCCTTTCAGCCCTAATACTGATGGAATTATTTTTTATTCTGTATATGTCTTACTTATTAATTTTTATTCCTTTTACGGAATTAATTCAAGGCTTTAATTTTTTCTATTCTTTTTCCTTTTTCTATCTCATTGATTTCTGCCCTCATCTGGATTCTTGGCTTACTCTACTACCTTGTAACCCTTTACAGAGATTTGCCTTTTTTCCTGGAAGACAACTAATTTAATGGTATCCCTCCTTGATCCTCTCGTTGCTGGGCTTTAGGCTATGGAAGGAGGAATGGGGATGATAAATATATTTCTTAATCTAGAGCATGATCCTTTTTCCCAAGGATTAGTCTTTCAGGTCTCATCTAAACGCCTGGTCTCACTACTCTGCCTGGGTTGAAAATCTAACATCTCCCAACACTGTTTGATCTATATAGTATTACCTCTGTTTTACTCTCTACCTTTCAGTAGAGTGTGACACAGCACATGTGCAGCCTGATCTTCAGTCGAGGACTTAAGGAAAACTCCCCTCTCCCAAAAAAACATACATCTGATAGGCCCTCTTCATCTCCGGTCCTGTCTCATGCAAGTCCCAGCTGCTTCAGCAGTCTTGAACTCTAACTTTTAAGAGATCTGCTTGGTTCCACCTCCCTATGCTGCGGTTAAGACGTTACCCCCAGTCAGAGGGCCAAGTTGAATGTGAGACTCACCATTTATATCTCCTTTCTCTCTGAGAGAAAATTCCTGATTTTCCTATTGTCAAATGTCAGATAACAGACAGGTACATCGTGTACAGAATTTTGTTCTGCTTTTTCCTTGTAGTTGGTGAGAAAGACAGACATTGTACCACTTACCATGTATTTTAAGTTTATTATCTCTCAGTTGCAATATAGCAATTGAATCTGACCAATCATTTGTAAATAATTTGTTTCTTCCAAATATGTTCTGGCATTAAATAGATCACAGACTGAAGCTAACTTTCTCAAACACTTGAAAAATTTCTTGACTCTTACCTGTATTTTGGGAAAAAAAATTCAAATTCCTATGTTTCACATGTAAACATATTCAGGTTCTGTATCCAATATGCTTTTGCATTCTCACTTTCCCTGTGATAATTCTATAAAATAATTTCCATTATTATGTCTACCAGTCAGATCCTATGACATCTCAATTTAAACATTCCGTGTTATTTAGAGGTTTGTTAGTGCCTTCACCCATTTGTCGTTGTTGGCTTCCTCACAAACTCCTAATAATAATTCTAGACAGTTAAAATGAACTTCTCAGATAAATGATTCTTGAGTTCCAAATCCAAGAAATATTTGTTCTATTCAATACAATTTTATTGAAATTGTCACATTACATTTGGATTTGTGATCTGTTTATTCAATAATTCTGGGGTATTCCTTTTTTCCCATCAAGAGAACTTAACTACATAAAATATATATATATAATTTACACAGCATAAATCAAAATTTACCTTTATCAATGAAGAATCTGGATACAATGTTCCTGATTTGTTGTATGAATATACAAGGAAATGAGGGTCTAAAAATGACCTAATTCAACCAAAATAATGACACTTCATTAGAATAATATCATTAAAAAGTAACTTCAAGAATCATAAAATTAAACAAAATTTACTTTCAATTATAAAAGCTCAATCAAATATCCAAAATTAAATGGACTCATCTCATTATCTACCTTGCTTTCTGAAAGCATATCATGAATATAAGAAAAAATTATAACCAGTATAAGCAAATACCAGTACGGATGCTATGATGAACTAGATTTATCCGTAGTGAAAATTGAGGCTTCCAGATTCTCACCACAAAATTTCATGCCATCTGCATGTTCGATCCAAGGAAAATAATCTCAAAGCATTCTAACTAAATAATACCTGGGTCAGCATAAAATTGCAACAAAAGAAAAAATAAAAAGAATGTCATGATTAAACTTAAAAAATGCAAAACAGTTGTTTAGAAAGGTAGCTGAAAGCACTGGATTTACATCTTAAGCTTAAACAGAATTATAAAAATCCATAAACCACTCTACCAAGCTTGGGAGATGTAGCCTCTCTACCTAATAAACAGAAAGAAACACAGGGAGGCCCCTAATATGAGGAGACAAAGAAACATGGCAAACGAAAGAACAGAACAAAACTCCAGAAAAAGAACTAAACAAAATGAAGACAAGCAATCTACCAGATGCAGAGTTCAAAACACTTGTTATAAGGATGCTCAAGGACCGTAGGGGAACAATGGATGAACTCAGTGAAAACTTTAACAAAGAGATAGGAAACAGAAAAATGGAGACAGAATACATTAAAAAAGAACCCGTCAGAAATGAAGAATACAATACCTGAAATGAAGAACACATTGAATCAACAAAAGATTAGATGTAGCAGAGGATCAAAAGCAACCGGAAAGATAAGGTAGCAGAAAACACCCAATCGTAACAACAACAAAAAAGCATCTAAAAAATTAATTATAACTTAAGGGGCCTCAAGGGTGTCAACATTCATATCATAGCAATACCAGAGGAAAAGAGAGAGAGCAAGAAATTGAAAAACCCATTTGAGGAAGTAATGATGGAAAACTTCCCTAACCTGGTGAAGAAAATGGACATACAAGTCCAAAAAGCTCAAAGAGGGCCAAAAAGGTGAACTCAAAGAGGCCCATACCAAGACACATCATAATTAAAATGCCAAAAGGTAAAGACAAAGAGAGAATCTTAAAAGCAACTACAGAAAGGTAGTTACTTGTATTCAAGGGACCTCTCATAAGACTGTCAGCTAATTTCTCAATAGAAACTTTGCAGGATACAAGGGATTGAAAAGGCATATTCAAAGTGATGAAAAGCAAGGACTTACAGCCAAGATTACTATACCTATTAAGGCTATCTTTTAGAATTGAAGGACAGATAGACTTTTCCTTTAAGGAGTTCATCACCAAACCAGTATTACAAGAAAAAGTAAAGGATCTTCTTGAAAAAGAATATCAAAAATATGAATTAAATGGCAATGTCTACATACCCATCAATAATTACTTAAAATGTAAATGGATTAAATGCTCCAAACAAAAGACATAAGGTAGCTGTATGTATAAGAAAACAAGATCCATACTTATTCTGCCTACAAGAGACCTCTCCAGGTCAAAAGACACACAGAGACTGAAAATAAAGAGATGGAAAAACATATTTTTATACAAATGAAAACAAAAAAGCTGGGGGTAGCAATAATTATATCAGACAAAATAGATTTTAAAATAAAGCCTATAACAAGAGACAAAGAAGGACCCAGCCATTCCATTTCTGGGTGTCTATCAGAAGAAACCCAAATACTAATTTGAAAAGACATATGCATCCCTGAGTTCACTGCAGCGTTATTTACAGTAGCTAAGAATGGAAGTTACCTAAGTGTCTATCAGTAGACAAATGGATAAAGAAGAGGTGGTACATGTATGCAATGGAATACTACTCAGCCATAACAAAGAAAGAAATCTTGCCATTGGCAACAATGTGGATGGACCTAGAGGGTATTATGCTAAGTGAAATAAGTCAGACAGAGAAGGACAAATATCATATGATTTCACTTATATGTGGAATCTGAAAAACAAATGAACTGACAAAACAGAAACAAACTCATAGATACAGAGAACATTTTAGTGGTTGCTAGATGGGAAGGAGGGGTTTGGAGGATACATGAAAAAGGCCAATCATGAGGATGTAGAGCCCAGCATAGGGTATATAGCCTCTAACACTATAATAACTACGCATGGTGTCAGATGGGTACTAGGCTTATCAGGTGATCACTTTGTAAGGTATATAAATGTCCAATCACTATGTTGTATACTTAAAGCTAATATAATGTTGTATGTCAACTGTCATTGAAAAATAAAAAAAAAAAATGTTTAAAGACCAAGAAAAAAAAAAACAACAGAAAACAACTGTATGAAAAGAAAAATGTTCACTTACTGTTTTTTAAGATGGAGAGTATATGTTTGTTGGTCAATTTTGATGGCATAAGTGACCTACAGCAACATGTTCAGAGAGAAAGTAATTATTAGAAATATGAAACTCTTAAAGTCAAAAGTAACCTACTTTTTAAATGTACTTTTTAGTAGAAACAGATTGTATCAAACACATCTCAAAATTATTTATACATATATAGTTCTATTTCTATCTTTCTTCAACCTTGGTAAGTAAGATAGAAAATCAAGGAGTCTAAATCTATTTCAATATTAGGAGCATTAGTCGTTAGCTTGTATTATCATAATAAATTTTAAATTAAAAATGATTTCCAATAGAAATGCTGCGTAACCTTTGAAGAAACTTGAATTTAATATCTTTATTATCTTTTTTCTAGCTTGCGGTTTCTAGCACAAATAAATTTAGAATTAAATAATGCAATGCAAGTCCCCTTTTAAAATTAAAGGAAGTGTCCCATAGCTGTCAGAAACCCTACCTGCAGACAGTCTTTGTCTTGCTTTTCTCTTTAGGAATTGCCTCACAACTTTTGGGAACAGCTCACATTTAGCGAGAAGCTCTCTCATCCCACCTCC